TCAGAAGCATCTTTCATACTGCATTCTGGCACTTCATTACTAACTGATTTCTTCGAATGGTCTTTCTCGCTTGGTTTTTCAACCAAAAGTGTTTGTTCAACCATGAAGGCTTCGAACATTTCTTTTTCAACCATTTCTTTCTTTTCGCCTAAGCCAACTTCCGTCTCTGCCTCGCTGTCACTTTCTATCAATGCCTTCTCCAATCTCGCTAAACTAGACTTCTCTCCGGCTTTTAGTTCAGAGTGAACTTTGGCCAACTGTTCCCTGTTGCGACCCATTTTTCCTTGTAGAGTTGGTTTTGGAGTAAGGTCTGACTTTGGATTCTTCTTTCCTTCTGTCTGTACCAATGAAGAACTCTCACCATTGTCTTTCAGGTCTCGCTGGTACTGAGTGTACCTACGCTGAATTTTTCTCCTTTGTGATCTGGAAATCACGAGAACTATATCTGGTTCCTTTGGTTTTTGGTGCTTAAGCAAGACCCAATTGTTTGGAGCTACCACAGGAGGTTTGACCATCTTACCTTGGTTTCCAGCAACCTCTCTCTGAGTAAACACCTCCCTAGGTTTGTTCTGCATTACAAACCAGTCTGGGACCCCAGGTACCCACAAACTTACTGACCCAACTGTTGAACTGCTTCTTTCCTCCTTCGAAGCTACCTTCAAAGCTGTCTGTGAAGGCCACTTCTTAGCCCTGACTTCGTGCTTTGGGCCTAACTCAGGCCTTCAATGAAGGTGTTCACTTTTTGTCCTGCGTGAAATTGATCTATGGGGCCAATCTCTAGCTTTGATCCCATAAACTGAGCCCTTCTCCAGTCTCCTTTCAGAATGACTGCTCTCCATCCTGTAATAATTAGGTGATCTGGATTCATACAAAGGCTTCTTGCCTTTAAAATGCATTCTATCGGCCGTTGGTTCAACCATCAATGGTTGCTGCCTAACACCAGATGGATATGCCCTTTTATTGTAAGTATTGGTTGGTTTAGGACGTCTTTGCACATCCTTGTAGTACTGCTTCCCATCAATTGGAAGCCCCTTCAACCACTTGTAACTTAGTCTGCACCTGGGACACATCCTTTGCATTACAGCTGCTTCTAAGGAATCGTCATCCAGTGCTACCTTATCAAAATCTTCCCCCTGGTGTGAGAAATCTTGTCCAATAACTGGTAGATTTCCAGTGTCTCTCTTGGTAGCTGTCTGGTTGGCCACATGCATCTGTATATTGACTTCTTTCAATTCTTTTAAAGACAGGTTCTGAAGGTCTGGCACAATGACATTGGCTGCTGCCTCCCCAATTTTTGGAAATGGATTATTGTTGATCCCCATGGCCTTTTCAGCTTTGGCTGGGAATAGCAAACTCCCTTTCCAAATTTGTTCTTAGATCCTGTCTCGAAAAACAACACAGTTTTTAGTCGAGTGAGACCAAGAATTATGCCATTTACAATATACTTTCCCTTTAAGTTCATCAAGAGATGGAATTTTAACCCCTTTTGGTAACTTAAGGAAAGTGGCCGCAAGCAAATGATCAAAGATGTCATCTGCCTTAGTTAAATCGAAAGAGAATTTCCTGTGAAGGTCTTTCTTTTTAAATTGCTGGTCAATTGTTGTATCTTTATGAATCAATGCTTCACAGATCACAGATTCTTTCTCCACAATCTCTACTGCATCAATCTCATAGTTAGGATCTTTGTAGTATGTCTTGTATGATGCATTATTTCGATCTTGCTCCTTTTCTAGTAATGCTTCATATCTAGATACTTTGTAAGTCAGTTCCATTAAGTCCCTGAATTTTGTTGAGTCAAACTTCTTTCGAAGCCTAAACTCTAAACCATTTTGAGTCAATCTTACGAATTCTAGCCCTGGAAAAATGATTCTACATTTATTTCGAGCCCTTTTAAATCTGGCAATAAACTGAGTAGCCTTCTCTTCAGGCTTTTGACTCAACCTTGCCAGGTCTGCCATGGAAACCTCTGGCTCCGATTGAAAGAATTGGGCATGAAATGCCTCTTCCATTTGTTGCCAAGTTTGGATTGAGCCAGGTGTAAGGTTAATGTACCATACAAATGCTCCCCCAGTTAGAGAGTTTGGAAACAGTCTTAGCTTCATATAATCATTATTAGTGAATTCACTGCATTAAGCAGCGAACCTAGCGATGTGCTCTACTGTTGACTAGTTTCCATTCCCATAAAAAATGGTGAAATCTGGTATCCTGAAACCTCTTGGGTATTCATGTACCCTATCTACCCATTCTGGGTATGATTTTCTGTATACAGGAGTCTGGACCCCCCGAGCCATTGGTCCACACATCTCCCTAACGATGTCAGCAATTTGGTCCCTAGGGACCATATTTTGTGCTTGCTGAACCACCGCTGGAGGAACAAACACAGGATTTGGTGGACAAACTTGTGCTTGTGGTTCTCTTGGTCTATAAGGTGGCATGTTTGGGACTGGTTGTCTCTGTAGTGCAGGTTGCTGTTGGGGGTGTGGGTAACCTCTTTTAATTTGTCCTACAAAAGAACCTGCGAAAGGTGCTGGAACTGGTATTGTGTCTCTTCCATTTGTAGGAAAACCTTCCAACCCCCCTGGTATTAATTCGAATAAGGGATTAGTGAACCCCTTTGTGCCAGGTATGGCTTCAAACATGGGATTTGGAACCATTCTTATGCCATTTTCTTGTACTGGACCAGTTCCACCAAATTGTATGGCTTCACTGTTAAGTACTAAGACATTTTGACCTACTACAGGTCTTGGAACAGGTTCGTACCAAGACTGAGGTGATGGTCTTTCATGGTTCTGATTACTAGTTTGACCATTAGAATGTCCATTAACTTGCATAGGCTGTTTACCTCTAGTCAATCTTTGTTGAAGGACATTCGAAATTTCCTCTATGTGTCTTACGTTTGTTAGTTGGTGGTTATTCATTCGATCCAAAAAGGATGTTGCCCACCTTTCTATTGTGTTCAATAATTGTTGTTCCATTGCATCTATTAAGCCTCCCCATAGATTCATTGGTTGAGTAGATGGGACAGTGGATGGTCCAACTCCTTGGTCTCGTCCAATATTACGAACATGTGGTATTTGTTCTGAAGTACTGGTCTGTTCGACCATAGGTTCTGATAAAATGGGAGTTTCCACAGGATGTGTTATCACATTATCCTCTGGGTTAGGTATCTCTACCTCTCCTTCCACGTCTTCTTTCAAGCGTTCATTTTCTCCTTATCTTCTACGTCTAGCCATTTTAAATGTAGTCCCACTGGGCGTGCCAAAAATATATGTTGGCTTTTTGGCTTCCGAAGGTTATTGTTGTAATTGCGAGCGTGCCAGCAAGGATCAATTAGTTCTTACAGAAAATTATTTGCCAACCAATTATCAGACGATTGTGTTTTAGTTCTTTCAGCCTCCATGAAGAAGACTTTTACTGGTGGCTTGACTTTGAAGAATTAAACAGATAACAATGAATTGAAGAACAGTCGAAGTATTTCATTAAGATGAAAAGACTTATAATGATCCAAACTCAGCCTCGTAGAGGTTTACAGCAACTCTACTTAGAACTACTCCTATGAAGCGAAGTGCAGTGCAAGAATTTTAAAGTGCAGTAATGTAAAGAACTGTAAATGTAAAAAAACTGTAAATGTAAAGCTGGAAAGGAAAATAAGTATAAAGGACTGGTTTTTTGGATCCGAGTCTGGGGGCTTTTTCTGAGGCTTTCTCTACTATTTATATTGCTCCAAGATGACCATCGAATTGCATTTCCAACCGTCAAACTGCTCCTCCATGATCATCGATCATTTTGCCCCAATATTAGCTCCATTACGCCATTATTTGCAGTTAAGCTTCCCTCATAAATTTGAATATGAAATGCGAGTAACCGTTGAAGCCACGTCACTTTGTATCTCTTTGTTGATCCGCTGTTACTCAGGATCGAGGGCCTGAATAGTCTTCTTATATTACCCTTATTTCGCCACGCGTCGAATTATAATTGGCTTATGCAAAATATGTAGCCAACAAATATGTATTTGAGATGCATATAGTTGAGCTGAAGATGGTGTGTTGTGAAATTTAAACATAAATAAATTTAAATCATACAGTTTTTAAATAAAATTCTAAATTTGTAATATTAATAAAATTTCAAGTCACTAGATCACAAGTTCAAATGATATCATCCCCTCGCCTAATGCATCAAACACTTCACACTTTTTTATATAATAATTTAAAGGGTCATGCTACATCCCCTAAAAACATCCCCCCTAATCCCCCTAATTTCCATATCAAGTAAAAAAAAAAAAAAAAAAGAGAAAAAGTTGCCAAAATTGGAAATTAGGGGGATTAGGGGGGAAGTTTTTAGGGCTCCAAATCATTTCCCTAATTTAAATATGTGATTTCAATTTTCAAGTTAAATAAATTACAAATGATTAAAACCCAACAAACGTTGATATGTTGTTCATATCCTTAATTAAAACATTTAATAAATAATATTTTTAAAAAAACTCTTATTTTTTCATAATTTTTTTATTGAATTATATATTTTTTTTTGTTAAAAAGGTTAATTTACGTTGTTAATAAGAATTAATTAAACATTTATGAGGAAAAAAGAAAACTTACTAAGAAATTTTTTTTTAAATAAAGGGCAAATTACAAATGCACCGTCGAGATTTGGTAAAAATACAGATTTTTCCTGAGGTTTGAGAAATTATAAATTATTCCTTGGATGTCAAATTTTCATAACAAATTAGGAGAAATTAGGAAGAAATCTGTATGAAAATAAAAACTTTAAGGGACAATTTATTATGAAAATATAAACTTCAAGAAACGAGATGTAATTTCTCAAATCTCAATAAGAATACGTATTTTCACCAAACAATCGAGGGCTGTTTGTAATTTGTCCTAGAATAAATAGTTAATAGTGAAGACAAAGATGCCATATATCCGTAATTAGAACAAGAGATAAGGGCAATTCTGGTAATCAAAAGTCTTAAAAAAAAACCAGCTTTATATCCGTGTCAAATCTCTCTCCTCTCTCTATCATCTTTCTCTGTGAGCTTACTTACCCAGCGATCTTTTTTGCCTTTTGTGATTTTCCAATCAAGAACAGACCAAGAAAATGCTAGCAGTGTTCCACAAATCGATTGCTAAGAGCCCTGAGGCTCTGCAGAGTCCTCACTCTGAGGCAGTCAGTTCTCTGAAAGATGGGTTTCTGGCTCGACACTTCTCGTCCGTATACCCTGGTTTAGTCACCATCAACCTCGGTGCTTCTGGCCTCATGGCCTATTCCATGGACAAGCAAAACCCTCTTCTTCCAAGGTTCGATTCCCATTTCCCGGATCTGGGTCATTTTCAGTTTTTGTTCTTGATCCGATCTTGCTGACTTCTGTGTTATTCAATTCTTTTGGTTTCATGTTCTTGCATAAATGTATATATGTGTGTGTGTGTTTGTTGGGAGATTTTCTTGTTTGGATGATCTGAGGACTGAGGTTATAGATCTTGGTGATCACGGACGGATCAGGATTATGACTTTGGGGGCTACTACAGTTTAAAAAATTGGGCCTACTCTATATAATTTTAAAATTATCTAAAAAAAAATTGAGGGGGCGAACTCTTATAATTTTAGATTATTTTAAAATTTCTCGTATAATATATGGTATTTTTCAAATTTTTGGGGCGCGGTTGTCTCCCAGCCTCCCCTAGATCCATCATTGTTGGTGATACCTGTTTTTTTGGAACTTATTTGTCTAACTTTGTGGCTAGTCTAGTTTTGGGATTTATTATGTTTTCCTTTCAGAGCAAATATATTGATCATTGTTTTGTTGTGTTTTCTGGACTGAAATTCTTATGTATTCGTGTTTTATGCAAACCCAAGTGAAAGATGTATCCATTTCTCGAGTGATCAATCTGTTATTTGCAGTTTGTTTAAATTTTTGTGGGTACATAAATCTTTGATAGATTATGGTGTATGGAGGCATACAATCCAGATCTGAATGTTCTGTTTTTATTTTCATTTGTTTATAACTAATTTATTGGGTTGTAATAAAAGACAAAATACAGATCCTGTTAAATTGCTTTGATCCTTTTTGGTCAATGGATATGGCATTAGACAAAAAAGTATATCTAGTTCGATTGCTTTCATACCTTTTTAATTATTATTTTTCAGTTTTGTAGAGACTTTTAGTGTCCTTTATAATGAAATTATGCATCCAGTATTCTTTATAGCACCATGGGGATGTTTTCATTTTGTTATTTGCACAATCTAGGTGTTTAGAAGTTACTGATTTCTATGGGAATTTTTTTATTGATTTCTTGGAATTACCTTTTTCCAAGTTCTAATTCCAAATTTTTATAAATGTGTTTTTCATAAGTAATTTCAAGTTTATTTTTTATTTTTATATGTTCTATGATACTATTCTACAGAGTGATATGTGTTTTCTTGTGGAAGCTATGAAGAACAAAATGGAAAAAATCATCTGTTTACATTTGACTGCTAAATTGTCCTCATATTTTACCGTGCAAATTTGGTTGATTAATTGCACCTCTCTCTTTTGTGAAGTTTCAACAAATTATTTATTTATTTTTATTTTTTTTTTTTATCATTAATGAATTACTTGGATATGACAAGCTCTTATAGATTTATGATGAGCCTCTCACCTTTATGTTACCGGATTGTTAACAATCTGATCAATCTCCTATGCTAGATTGTTTTCTGTTACGGACGACGTATTCTGCATGTTTCAAGGCCACATTGAGAATGTTGCTCCTCTTAAGCAGCAGTATGGATTAAACAAGACTGCAAATGAAGTCATCATTGTTATGGAAGCTTACAGGACTTTGAGAGATAGAGGTCCGTATCCTGCAGATCAAGTTTTGGGGGATCTGCATGGGAAGTTTGCATTTATTCTCTATGATAGCTCTTCAAAAACTACTTTTGTAGCTGCTGTAAGTTAACCTCTGAACCTAGCATTGGTATTTGATTTCATTTGAGTTTTCTATGAAGCTATTGATATGACACACGGTCTTCCCTGGCACCTTATGGTGTCTTTCATGTAACGCAGGATGCCGATGGGAGTGTTCCGTTCTTCTGGGGAGCTGATGCTGAAGGGAATATTGTGCTTTCAGATGATGTAGAGATTGTGAAGAAGGGCTGCTGCAAATCCTTTGCACCATTTCCAAAAGGTATAATCTATAAACATATGTATATCAATTTGTGGTTGCCAGTGATGCTCTTTTGTATGTTGGTGAGCATTTGTTTAGAAATTTCATTGCCATTTTCTTTTTCTTTTTCTTTTTCTTTTTCATTTTCTTTTCTTTTCTTTTGTAAAGAAAAGTAGCTGTTCCTAATTATGGGTAAGCTCAAGGATAACAAACTTTAATATGCTGCTAAATTTACAAGAGGGCAGCCACTTTGTGCAATGTATGTCAAAGTTTAGATCTGTACCTAATCTACCCCTTCCAGACCCTCATCAATGGCGATCAAAACTGGGCATACTTTTTTTTAAATGTATTTTACACACTAGGAAACGAGAGGGAAATGACATGGGGATCACCCCAGCATCTGGGAAATGTGGTTGAAATTAAACTTTGTGGTACTGTATATGTCATAAAGAACTCCACATTTCTTCCCCACACATTATATTCTAACAATTGTGAGAATCTACTTGTTTCTTGACCCATTTTGGGATGCATTTTGTGGCTCATTTATTGTTTTTCTTTTAACCTGATATAATCTTGGTTTAGTTGTTTTCAGCATCAGTCTCACCCTTTTAAAACCTTCTATCTATCTCTTTTTTTTTTTCCTTTTCTTTTTTTTTTTTAAGTTAAAAATATGATGCTGAAGGGAATATTGTGCTTTCAGATGATGTAGAGATTGTGAAGAAGGGCTGCTGCAAATCCTTTGCACCATTTCCAAAAGGCTGCTTCTTTACAACCTCTGGGGGCCTGAGGAGTTTCGAGCACCCCCTTAATGAGTTGAAGCCAGTGCCGAGGGTTGATAGCTCAGGTCAGGTGTGCGGTTCAACTTTTAAGGTGGATGCAGAGTCTCGGAAGGAAACTGGTGGGATGCCTAGAGTTGGGAGTGCTGCCAACTGGTCCCAACACTACTAGCTCATAACCAGCTCCATTATGGAAGGCTTTTATTATTAGTTAGCTTTCCATCTTTCTACTTTTCCCATTTTCTTTCATGTTCTTGTCTAGAAGACTGCTGCTTTAATGGGTATAGAGCTTGATGTGCTAACCAAGATATGCCCAATGCCGGTATACATGTTGCTTACTGTTTCAATTTAATCTGGTACATCAATATGAAGCTTTTTCTGGGCTCAAAAGACCTATTATATGGAATAATATCACATTGGCATGGAGGCTTGTATTTGGGAAATTGTTAATTTGATGCGTTGTTGACCCTTCCTACTCTGTTAAATGGCATCTTGTTCTGTAATCTTTTTTTCTTATGATCTTATTAAGGCCATGGTTATTGCCAAAGCACATTAGCTTTGGCAATAGTTGCTATGTGCATGTGATTAAGGATGGCAACTTTCCCTTATCCTGCATGGCCAAAGTTTTCCCACCCCCCAACAAGTGTAGGGTAAATATTATCTTCAGTCTACTGATTGGACTAGATGGGTACTATTTAGATCCATGGAGCCTACTACTAATTCCTTTTTTATGATCAAAGTTGCCCATCTTGTATGCAAATGATAATTGGAGTTGTATGATATATTCATCTTCAAAAAATGGTAAAATATGATTTTGATGAAGACAAATATATTGAAATCATGTTGTGTGATTATCATATCAAAAAAAAAAAAAAAATTGTGTTTGCGGTTGCATTTGCGTAGCTTATTTTAGGGTTGAATTCGATAATCTAAATCATTCATATTTTAAAAAATATAGAGTATAACAGAATTGTAAAAAATTATGTTGATTAGATATCGGTAATTTTTTCATCAAATCATATTTGTATTGAGTTTAATATTTCAAATTATATTTATCATTTATTTTTTTTAAATATAAATATGATTTAATGAAAGGGCTAACAATATTCAATAGATATGATTTTTTACAGATATGTTCTACTGGACATCTTCTAAAATATGACTGATTTAAATTATAGAATGGCTATCTTCTAAAATATGAATGGTTTAAATTATAGAATTGAGTTTTGAAATGAGTCCAATAAGATGTGCAACAATTGTGGCTGCGTATGGGCACAGTAGACTCTATCAAATTTAGATGCTTCTCTTGATTGTATGTCTTAGAGCATCTCCAACGGTGAATCAGATTTTTTACCAAATTTGAGTAAAAAATGACCCATTTTACCAATTTGATACCATTCGCTCCAACGGTGCACTTTCATCAAATTTGTGCCGGGGACAACCGGTTGGTCGACCGGTTAAGCAAAAAAAAAAAAATATTTTTTTTTTTTGATTTTTTTTTGTGAACTTTTTGAACCTTTTAGTGGTCGACCGGTTAGGCAAAAATTTTTTATTTTTTTTTATTTACTGTTGAACCTTTTTCTTCGAACCGTTTGAACCTTTAGGCGGTCGACCGGTTGGTCAACCGGCCGGGCAACCGGCTGGTTGACCGGTTGGTCTCTCCCAACGGTTAGGAACAGTGATTTGGTAAAATGCTTCGCCTGTTCTCATTTTGGTACCAGATTTGCTGAATTCTGGATTTGATATCAATTTGGTGAAACCGTTGGAGCTCAAAAAATTAGCTTTTTCATCAAATTTTGAATTTGATATCAGGTTTGATGAACCGTTGGAGATGGTCTTATGCCTATTGACTATAATTTTTTATTATTTATTTATTTTTTTAATGTGACATGCAATGATATATCTTTGTTATTTGAGATGAGACCCATTGGAACAAAATAAAAGTAAAAATGAGTGAGTTATATTTTTTTTATTGACTTTCTTAGTATTTTTAAAAAAAATTTTTTTATGTAGTGAAAATGGTTAGAGTATTTATGATTTTTTTATTTTTTATTTTTACGTATGTGATATTTTAATTTTTTTTATGATATTTTAATTTTTTAAACCAAAAAATCACAAACCAAACAAAGCCTTACAAGCACACTTCATATCTAAAATGATAAAATCCATAATTCGCCTTGGATTTTTTTAGATGGGATAATCCTCTCTTAATTGGATTTGTTTGTTTCGAATACATATTTTCCACAATCCACCTCACATTTTTTTAGGAGAAAATTGGTCTAAGGTCCCTCTTCCACTTTTCATAATGGAAGAGATCCACAAAATTATTTTTTGATGTCTAAGATCCCTAAACATACAACAGAGAAATTTCAGTCCTTTATATTATCTTCATCATCTGACCCACTGCCATCCCCAACAACCCGACTCTCAGTCCTCCTCTTCTTCCAATACTTCCCAAAGCTTTACCTAGTGGAGATTCCCCGCCTCGTTCTCCTTCTCTCCTTTCCTCTCATCGCAATCACATACATCTTCGTCTCCGAAGCCCTCGTGATCCAGGCGCTCATCTTCATCTCCTACGCCAGACTGAAGATCCGCGACATCGAGCTACTTCGTCAACTCCGGACATGTGTTTTGGTGCAGCGTTGATCCAGGTTCGCTTCCGACGGTGCTGGGTTATACTCTATGATATTTTTGATCGGTACTGGTTGCGTCAATAGTATTTCACTTAAGTTCACTTCTAAAGATTCTTCTAGGTGAAGTCGTCTTTGTTGAAGATTACAGTTTATATCTAACACAGTAATTATTTTGTTTGATGAACTTCCAATAAAGATGGATACCCGTATGGAGTCAAGTACTTGGTGTGGTTCTACTTTGTTCCAAGTTACACGTACAGTTCTGTGTATTTGTTCTCTTTTAGCATTTCCAATTATGTTTTGACAAAAAGCAATACATTGACTATTGAAATGTTGATGTGCTGTTGTACTGGAGGATCTGAATCCTATATTCTTAAGTTCACAAAAATAGAAATTGAAGCCAAGTGTAGATTAATGAGAAAAGTGATCTTCTGGTTGAAACTAGAGAAATTCTTTGATTTTTTAACTGAATTTGCTCTGGGTTGAAACCAGAGAAATTCTCTGGTTTTTGAACTCAATCACCAAGTTCTGTTCATAAAAATACAACTTTACTGTAAATAGAGAGAATTTCTCTGGTTTGTCTGGTTTGAAGAGAATTTCTCTGGTTTTGAACCAGAGAAATTTGTAGGTTTGTGGGTTTATTAGACATGGGTTTAATTGTAGTTAATAGAGCCAGAGAAATTTGTGAAGTCAAAAAAATTTCCTGGATAGCCATACAAATTTCCTTTCCACAATTTTCTCTGGATTTATTTGGTACTCAGAGAAATTTCAATTTTCTCTGGAGAGAATTTCTTTGGAACTGAAATTTCTCTGGATTTCAATTTTCTCTGGAGAGAATTTCTCTGGGACTGAAATTTCTCTGGATTTCAATTTTCTCTGGAGAGAATTTCTCTATGACTGAAATTTCTCTGGATCCTGTTAAGGGACCTTAGACATCATGAAAATATTTGATGTCCTTTATACTATAAAATCATAATATCAAAGACCTTAAAAAAAATACCCTTTTTTTTAGATGGTATATAGTCTTCTACATTTTTTTAGATGGTATAGTCTTCTATATTTTTATATTTTACGCTCACGTTACATATTATGATTAGGATATTGCGGAGCTTCTAAATATAATGTTAAATTTCTTTTTATGCCCACTTTTTTTTAAAAGTTGTGTTTAAATTTAAAATTTGAAAATAAATTTGTGAAAAGAGATAAAGTAAAGAAAAAGAAACAAAAATTTAACTTATATTTAATTTATATAATTTTTACTTTATTTAATTCATAAAAATATAAAAAGGGTAAATTACAGACACATCTTATGAGGTTTACTTAAATTATAAATTACCCCTGTGGTTTTAGAAATTACATTATGCCCCTAAGGTTTCTAATTTCATAACAAATAAGTCATTTTATTAATAAATCAAGTTAATTAACAGTTTTTAATAATGTTAAAATTTTATTTCAATTAATAACTTAGATAATTTTATTATTGTATAGGTGAACAGTTAGAAATTTTACTTTTTTAATTAATTCTGTTAAAAAAAAAATTCTGACGGGGAGGTATTTATAATTTTTCAAACAACAAGGAGCAATCCGTATTTTAAGAGAATTTATTATAATTATGTCAGCCTTTATGATATTCAATATATATTTTTTAAATATAAAAAAAGATTCAAACGATATTTTAATTTGTGTATTTTATGTAACAAAATATATATGAATCCATTTGGAAATTTGAATTTTTAATTTCTTTTTATACTCACTTTTTTTAAAAGTTGTGTTTAAATTTAAAATTTGAAAATAAATTTGTGAAAAGAGATAAAGTAAAAGAAAAAGCAATAAAAATTTAACTTATATTTAATTTATATTATTTTTACTTTATTTAATTCATAAAAAAATAAAAGGGTAAATTACAAACACACTCTTTGAGGTTTACTTAAATTACAAAGTATCCTCTGTAGTTTTAAAAATTACATTATGCCCTTAAGGTTTTTAATTTCATAACAAATAAGTCATTTTATTAATAAATCATCAAGTTAAATTAACAGTTTTTAATAATGTTAAAATTTTATTTCAATTAATAATTCAAATAATTTTATTATTGAATAGGTAAACAGTTAGAAATTTTACTTTTTTAATTAATTATATTAAAAAAATATTTTGACAGGTAGATATTTGTAATTTTTCAAACAACATGGAGCAATCTATATTTTAAGCAAATCCCAATAAATGTATTTGTAATTTATCTAAAATAAAAATAACAAATATTATATAAATTAAATTTTAAGAGAATTTATTATAATTATGTCAACCTTTACAACAATATATATTTTTTAAATATAAAAAAAAGATTCAAATAATATTTTTTGTGTATTTTATATGACAAAATATATATGAATCCATTTGGAAATTTGAATTTTAAAATTTTTTTTATGCTCACTTTTTTTTTTAATTTTAAAAGTTGAGTTTAAATTTAAAATTTGAAAATAAATTTGTGAAAAGAGATAAAGTAAAAGAAAAGGAAACAAAAATTTAACTTATATTTAATTTATATTATTTTTACTTTATTTAATTCATAAAAAAAATAAAAGGGTAAATTAGAAACACACCCTCTGAGATTTACTTAAATTACAAATTATCCTATGTGATTTTAGAAATTACATTATGCCCTTAAGATTTTTAATTTAATAACAAATAAGTCATTTTATTAATAAATTATCAAGTTAATTAATAGTTTTTAATAATGTTAAAATTTTATTTCAATTAATAATTTAGATAATTTTATTATTGTATAGGTGAACAGATAGAAATTTCACTTTTTTAATTAATTCTGTTAAATAAAAAATCTAACAAGAAGATAT